TATTTGTTGTCTGTCATTGTAGCTGGGATAATTTTACTTATTAAAGCTCATAATCTTACCACTTGAAACATCACTAGCCCTGAAGCTGCTGGTAGAGATCGTGGTTGGAATTATCAAAGGATTTTCCACCTGAGAGACACCATAGCTGGAAGCTGGGGGGTGGGGGTGGGGGGAAGACCAGGGAGGATGATTCAACCACTCAACCACTAGAGGTCGCTGAAAACAAATCCTACACACTGTGCCTTTAAGCTGCTGATACAAACATTTCCCATCTGGCAACACCGGATCTTGTCTACCCCAAGAGTCCTATCACTGGAGCTTTTTAACTACCTCAGCGAGCTCAGCAGCAGCCAGGGTTGCAGTCCTGTTTTCTGTGTCAATTTTATCTATACAGCATGTTTAAAACATTAAGGTTGGCCAAGGTGCTTTACAAGCTGGTTTAAATCAAAGTGGAAAAAACWAAATATAGCTCCTGCGAGAAGCACAGACAATCTTGCAGCCACAACTCAAGGCAGACGCTCTGACAGTTGAGGTTCAGAACATGGCCCACCTYGGCTGGGTTGTGGTTAAAGTTCTCCTGGAGGTGAGTTGAAGATCTTTCTGATGGGTTTTTTTGCCAGGTGTTCCCAGCAAACCCTCGTTTGGGTCTACAGGATCCGTCCGGCATCTCCCATCATCTGATCTAATTCAGTACTAGGTGGTGCTCAGTGGAGTGTCCAAAACATACAGCCGCAGTTTAGAATCAAATTTATTTTCTGTGGATTTTATTTTGAATCTTTTGTCTAGTTTATTTTAGTTTGATTGAAATAAATCTGGGAAATAATTTCTCTCCTGTCCAAAATTAAAAATTTGAACATTTCAGAGTTTGTTTCCTGGTTTTAACATGAAAACAGTGATGTCTACAGTTTATTTAGATGTGAGGATGAAGAGGAAGAGGAGCAAGCAGACCCTACACCAATTGATGCTGGATCAAAACATGTTGGATCTCCAGGGGGCRCCGTTAGTTTCTGTCAAAGAGAAGAAGAACCTGATTAGATTAGTGTTAGAAAAATCGAAACTTCAAACATTTTCAGGATCAAGGAAAACTCAGACTTTATGAACTTTAAAGATTTCTGTATAGTAATAATAAAATGCATTGAACCGGTTATAGTTTGTTAGAAACTGGTTCTTACTGGGTAGGTCTGGTGAAGTCTTCTTCTTCTGATGGGATCCAGAAACCTGCATAGTTTCACACAAATGATGCTTTAAAATCTGATTTAGCTTGATCATTTTGATCTGGTTTCTATCCAGCTGTAGGCCTTGATGTTCACGATCCTGAAACATGGTTTGAGTAAATCTGACTCTGTTTCTGCTCCAAACATCCTAACAGAACCACAGCAACATTCAGAGAGAAAAGAAACAGAACCTCAGAMACACCAAACAGACGTCCACTTTTTGACAAATCCAACAAGCTGCTGTTCTTAGATCAGTATTCCTCTGGACATAAAAAAAGATTCACTTCAACAGAAAACTATTCTGGCCTGAGAAAACTGAGAAGCAATGCAACAGGACACATTAACCCATGTTTCCATAGCAAATGGAATATGGAGCTTTGTAACGAAACACAACCTGCAGCAGAAAAGTTTAAGAATTCAAGATTGAAACAAAATGATTTCCAAGACCCTAACCCTAGTCCAGGAGTTCTGTTAAATCCGTCATCAGGAAATGTAAGGAATATGGRAACATGTGTGACTCTACTAAGAGCAGGTCCTCACAAACTGAGTGACAAGAATAGAGAGAGAAACCRTCAAGATACCTGAGACCACTCTGAAAGAGTTACAAGCTTCAGCATAAGAGATGGGAGAGAGACGGTACAACCTGGTTCTTCTCCAGTCTGAGATTTATGGGACAGTGGAAACAAGAGGGCTACYGGGAAGAAATCTCAGAGCAACATGTAGACTCCATGGTTAAGTGCTTCTGAGCAGCTGGCCCTTGACCTGCATGTTCAYGCCTGGCTGAGTCACATGACCACCTTTATTTGATTGTTAGACAGATCTGTRAGGTCCAGCTGATCTTCACAAACATTAAAGGTGGGTATTATACAAAACAGACTTTTWTGAGCTTTGTATCATGTTATAATGTCATTCCCTCGTGAAAAACATACTTTGACTCATTCATGCATGTTAGAGAAATCCTTGAATCTCCTCTGGTRGCCACGTGRATCTGCCTAAACACTTGCTGATAAAAAGCTCTGCCTACTTGTATTTAGCTCCTCCCTGGAACTCAGTCCCCAGCTCCCACCCCACAGAGCACTCCTCCMCCGAAGCATTGTTGTGAAGACGTGCTGAAGTGGGAGTGTCAGAAATGGTAGGAGGTTCTTATACAGACAGAGGCCAATTTCAAGGTGTTTAGATAGAGTATGATACAAAGTCAACTTATTTTTGATRTATACAGCATTTTCATAACAACTGAAGCTAACATAGTTACTTGATTGTTGTACAGCACTGAACTCTAGTTTTATTGCTGACTGTATGAGGCACATCATCATCATCTTTAACATTTAGACCAGACCAGATCACATTAGATCTGTGTGGACTCTTATCTCAGACTGACCTTTTTCTTGGCACTCAGAGCTGCAATTTTACTCTCGATGTCTGACACCTGCATAAGAGATAGATGTGTCAAAATCACTTGTGCTTTTGTTTATAGAAACAATCAAATTAGTTCAAATCTAAAAAATGTCAGTTTAAATAAAAACGAAGGAATGAATCAAAATGTTAATGTGATCAGAAAACAAAATAAAACAAAGAATACCTCACTCTCAGCACTCTGGACCCTGGCGGCGGTCAGCGCCACCACATCCTCCAGCTCGGACAGCTCAGAGTCCGTCGCCCCTCCAAAACGGTTCTTGGCGCTCCGCTCGAGTCGCTGCAGCTTCGTCTCCAGGTCAAACGAGTGACCGGCTGTGATGTACACCTGCACAGGTGAGACAGCAGACACACCTGAGTCACCTGGCAGAACAGTGAGGATGAGGAGGGTTATGAAGCTGACAGAGCTGAAGGTCAGGGAAACATACTGGATCTCAGCTGGTTTCCTCTTTGGGATTTAAATTTAATTTTCTCATTTTAGTGCAGAGAGTCTCAGCAGCTGCCGAAAATAAAGAAAACTTTCACAATCATGATAATATTGTTGAGAAATGTATTTAGTAACAAAAAGTTCAGTTTTGTCCTGAGAAACAGATCTCATGGATTACCAATATTTTCTCATCTTCTAATTAAACTCATATTTGTCATACCAAGTTTTTTTTACAGCTTGAGAATCTCAGCASCTGAAGAAAGTAACAAAATCTTTCTGTCCCAGGATAATCTCATTGGTGAAAAATACATTTATTTAACAAAATATATTAAAAGTTGCAATGTTTTCTCATTCCAATAAGATCAGTTTTGTCTATAGAAACAGATCTAATGAATTAATTTACTCATATTTTAGTTCTACTTTTTTAAAACAAATCTTTTTCATTTCGCAGCTAAATTAAATAATCTCATTCATGATTGCATTGCAGCAAAACTGGCAAATTGTATATCTTTTTAAACATTCTTGTTCTTTGAATTTCCTCATCCTTCTGAGATCAGTTTGCCTTTAAGAATAGATCTAACAAAAAAAAAATTCATTTATTATTTTCTAGTCATTCTCTTATTTCATTCAGAAAAAGCACAAGTTGACGACGGCACGTAGCCAAAAGGCGTCCTGTTTTCTGTCCTTATTAAAAACATGGTATTTGTTGGAGTGCTGGGATAACCAGCACTCCAAAAAGAAATTATAACAACAAAAAAATAGCTATCCTATTTTTATTGTTCTCTTATTTCATAACAATTTTACTAATTTTACAGTGAGAATTAACCAGCAAATGAAAAAGGCAAAAGAATGAGATAACTTAAGCTGTCTGACAGGCCTTTTAGCTGTGTGACAGGTCCTTTAGCTGTGTGATAGGCCTTTAGCTGTGTGACAGGGCCTTTAGCTGTGTGACAGGGTCTTTAGCTGTCAGATAGATGACTTTATGTTTGACTCCGGAACAGAACTTTCTAAAGTCTTCATTTTCTGACCTACAAATTAAAAGCAGTAAAACTTCAGGACATTTATC